GAAGGCAGAACATTTTTCCCAAGCCAGATAAGTGCTCCTTTCTCTCTATTAAGATTTTGGAATACCTCGTTTGCTATCACACTTGGGAAGATACAGCGCAAAGAACCAAAATCTAATCAAGATTTTCCCTAATTTCCAGAAAGGCTGCTGCAGAGTTCAGCTGCCTCTTTTATTGATTCTGGTAGTAAGCACAGACGCCACTTACCATGAAGACATTTTTACATAGGCAAGGCTATTAGAATGATTTATAACGCTATTGTCTTAAACTGCAATTTTGCTGAAAGCAACAGGAGCAAATTGTGTGCATCATGGGTAGCTTGGGTTTGCTCCTAGTTTATAAGAGCCATTATTTTAGTCTTCTAATCATTAAGATTTATGTTATGTAGACAAGAAGTATTGTAGGTACATCACTTATCCAAGTGTTTTTCAGAACCAAAATGAAGCATTGTATATCCAGCCACTTATAGAAGATGCCCTGATACCATGACGATGAATTCAGTAGAAGTAGAGCAGAACTGTGTCAATAACTGTAAATAACTGCAATTCCTTCTTTTAAAATGTCATGTTTATGGAAAATCTGTTGGTTACTCACGTTGACTTTCTCCAACTATTTGACAAATCACCTTAAAAGTAAGATAAGCATATAAAAGTTCATTCTTAGTGTACCTTCTGCAGTCCAGTGGTGCCCCAAGACTTACAGCTAATAGGGAATACAGCTGTTGTGAGAAACATTTTTCAGCAATCTGAGAGCAATGGAAAATCATGGAGACCGAGGCTCCTAAGCTGATGCTCCCCAGCAGCTCAAGTGGGGTGAGTCAGGGGCCAAGTATATTTGAGGTTCTTTTGAAAATAGGACCTATACTCCTTAGTCCCTAAGGTGCTTTACTGCTTTATAGGCAGCCTGTGCATACAGCGATAGCCCATGCTCTCTGAAGTGGTATGCTAAAGCTCTGCCAGGACGCTTAAACCCATTTTTCTGGTAGACATGTGAAGTTTCCACCTGAATTTGCACACAGATAATAGATACGGAGTGCTCCCTTTCACAAGGCTACGGTTTCCAAAGGGCCTGGAGGCCACAAAAAGCAGATGTTAGAGAGGATGTTTTCTCCGAGCGAATGAGTGGGATGGCTGTTCACACCTTAAAGTAACGAGCTCGTTTCTCTTGGATTCATTGCAACAAGAAGAAAAAAACCCCATCTCCCAACCTAAAGTGATTTTTGAATGTCCAAATAATGTCTTCTGCATGTCTTAATGGTGTATCATATACATGTCCCAAGTCTTCTGATTCTGGAGGTTTCATAAGACCTCTCAGCGTGTGCCACCAGCTGCGTGCTCATGGCAGGTGAGAGTCAGTGCTCCGGGCCGCTGCAGACACTGGGGTTATTGGTCTCCGATAAACTGCAGAGCCATGTCATTCGGCCAGGTGAATCGTCATGTCCAGTCCGTATGGTTCTGAAAACCATTTCATGCTGCCTTTTAGTCATCCCCCTCAAACGTCCTGACAGTGTTAGTCACAAACTACACCTTCAACGTGAACAGGGTGTTTCATCCATCTGCCTACCCACCTCCCTTTCATGCTACTTCCCTTCTCCGATAAACTGCAGAGCCATGTCATTCGGCCAGGTGAATCGTCATGTCCAGTCCGTATGGTTCTGAAAACCATTTCATGCTGCCTTTTAGTCATCCCCCTCAAACGTCCTGACAGTGTTAGTCACAAACTACACCTTCAACGTGAACAGGGTGTTTCATCCATCTGCCTACCCACCTCCCTTTCATGCTACTTCCCTGGTCCCACCGTAGCTGTGTTTTGTGCCGGTGGCCTGAGGGCTGACTGCTGGATGTGAGACTGGTTCACTTGCTGGCCAGAAATGTTCATTTTCACACAGACCTTTTCAATCCTGAATCATTCCTCCTTTTTTTTTTCCTTGATGTGAGGTTAAAAACCAGCGAGGTCTACTCTTGAGTACAGTGCATGGTATTTGGAAGAAAACACTTGCTTTTATCAGTCGGATCTCCCCGACGGGCAGCAGGCAAGGGGCTGGGCAGACATGTGGGGAGGCCAGTCTGTATTTCCACAGGCAAGCGTGTTCCCACCACAGAGGCACTAAAGGGTCAGGGCTTTATCTTGATGTGAGGTTAAAAACCAGCGAGGTCTACTCTTGAGTACAGTGCATGGTATTTGGAAGAAAACACTTGCTTTTATCAGTCGGATCTCCCCGACGGGCAGCAGGCAAGGGGCTGGGCAGACGTGTGGGGAGGCCAGTCTGTATTTCCACAGGCAAGCGTGTTCCCACCACAGAGGCACTAAAGGGTCAGGGCTTTCAGCAGCGAGCCCACGTGCAGCTATTACCTCTTGTGCAAAGAAAGGGGTTCTGGACTTCACAGGCTTTGCCATGTTTAACTGCTGGAAGGGGTTGAATGTTCAACAGTGAACAACTGCTCAGCTGTAATGTTAGATTTTTTAGATTTTTAGATCCTTTCTGTTGCCCACCACAGCACTGTTATGGTTTGTGGGACTGTTGGAGGAGAACCATGCAAATTCATGCGGCACATGGCGTCATTTTATGCTCCCTCCTGTTTTGTTCCTTCTATCCGCTTTAAACCAGCAGGAGGGGAGGTGGGAGAAATATAACAGTTCCTTTTATTGTCTCCAAGTGTTTAAGGAATGACAGACATCACTTTTTTTCATTTAAAGGATTGCTCCTTGCCAACACAACACAAGCAAACACGCGAAGTAGCACAACAGCTTACCATGGGGCGCTGCGGAGCACGAGGGCAGCCACTTGGGAGTGCAGGCAGGGAGAGGCGCCCGGGGAAAACCTGTCCCTGCTTTCCTTCAGATGGAGAAGACATACTGGTGCCTGGAAAAAAGAGAGAGTCATTACCAGACTTTTAATGTCATAGTTAATGCTATATTTAGCGCATGGCCGTTCTGGCAAGCGGAGGTCTAGCGCAAGAAGAGGCTGATGGAGGTTGGTGGCTGCCAGCACAGCACAGGGAGCTGTGCTGGTGGGAGTGGAACCCCCCCCAGGAGCTGAGTGGTGGAGGGGTGCAGAGAGGGATGCTGTTTTGGCAGTGCCATGCAGAAGTTGAGTACGTGACAGTGGCCCAAGGGAACCCATGAGGTATGAAACGGTTTGTCTGTGCCATTTAAGGATGTGGTGGGGCAGAGGGGCTGTTCCTAGGCTTGCGGTTTGTACCACCCCAGTGACCCTCCTGGGCAGGGAGAGGACTTGCTGAGCAGAAGGAGCACTTTTAATGCCATGGTAACACTAATTGCTCTCACGATGGGAAATGTCAGTGCTGTAATGTGGGTACCATGAACGTACAAAGCCTCATGTCCTCTGAACAGACATCATGGAGAGTGCTCAATGAGTTAGGACAGATACTTAAGCTCTTCCCAAAGCATTTCCCCTCTGGCATCCTTTGCTTTTTGCATAACCCTGTGGTCTGCTCAGAGCAGTGACCGAGCCTGCCTTGGCAGAGAGCAGAGCTACGTGACGGCGCTCCTTTGGACAGGAATATAGCTCCGGAGCCCATCCCCGTTCCTACAGAGCAGCAGCCTCTTGCAGAAAGGCCTCTGTTTGCCGAGGGCTGGATCTGATTCTCAGGGATATTTTGCGTGCATTAACCTTCCTGTAAGAAAATAACCTTATTCAGTACTGTGTGTAGGTGGAGGAGATGATGGAAGGGAGGGAGAGCTGCTGCTGGCAAACAACCAAATCAAGACTTAAATACAAATTCCTACTTTTCCTGCTTGTGAGAAAGGCCAAATAGACCTTTTCAGACCCTCCAGTACAGGTGCTTGACTTAGGACTTGTCTAGGACACTTGAGGGATGGCTTGTGCCTGCCTTTTGCATGGGGAGGCAGGAGGGTGCCTTGGCTCTGCCTCTGGGCATCCCTGTGTGTGGCTGTCCTTGCTCGCGGTGGGGAGAGCAGAGCTGCCCGAGGCCGGCGGGGTGGGAGTGGCGGTGCCCTCCCAGTCCTCCCAGCAGTGGGGACTTGTCCCCAGGCAGGGGTGCCAGCAGCAGGGGTGGCAGCCAGGGCTCGCAGGGAGAGCTCCCCTCGCAGGGGTAGCACCACTCCCTTCTGACACAGCCCATCTTGCACTTCTCTGATTTACCGGTCAATTTGATCAACCATTTAATTTTGTCAAAATCATTGACAAAAGACCATTAAAAGGAGAGTTATGCCACTTCTATGCTCTATGGCTTTGGCTCATTTGTTTTAATTAGCTGTAACAAATTCATGGTTAAACAAGGCTCGAGAGGGTGCTATCTAAATGTGGTACTCATGGCATACACAGTACCATTAATGAAACACTTCTCCACAGCTTGACTATGTTCTCCTCCATCTAGCTTGCAGCTCATTATAGCATTAGAGATAGGAAACAGAATGTAACACCTAATTAAAATGTGAGCCTGTGTCCACAGATGATTCAATAGAAATAAAAGCATTAAGCTGGTGAGCGAGGCAGGAGAGTCATCACCACAAAAACATCTCAGCCAAGCAGAGGAAGCTGTCCCTCTGCTTTAGGCACCTGCATAAAGTTGGGGTAACAAGAATATTCGGGTCCTGATCCAGCAAAACATTAAAAAGTAAAAACTGATAACAACTAAGTGTTGTTCTCATTAAGGATTCTGAACCCCACTGCGTAATAACAATTTTTAGCCTGCCCCGTTGGTTGTCATAGAAATAGCACAAGCAACCACTTATTTTGGTAATAGGATTATAGATAGTGTCTTCTCTTATTTTAGCTGTTCTTTTCAAAATTATACCCATGCATTTTATTGTGTGAGTCGATGAGATGTCTGCAGCCATCGCAAGATGAATTTAATGTGTGTTAGGTTAAGCATGTTAGAGGCATGCACAGAATTTAATGTTTTTTTAATATTGTTACTCTCCAAAATACAGAAAAAGTAAAATAGCCAGGTGTGAACTTAATATTGTGCATACCACAGATAAGCAAACAAATCACATCTCCCTCTATTTGTCGCAGGTGGGACAGCCCCCTGGTTGATCTGTTTTTCTCCAACCAGTATCTTCAGATCACAACTACTGTGCCATCCACTTCGGTCTATGGGTTTGGTGAACACGAGCACCCGTCCTTCAAACACAGCATGGATTTTGTAGCACCAACGGTAATTCACCTCATGCAACATTTTGTCATAAACGTGCATCACAAAACGGAGGTCGTGAGGTACCGCTTTGCCAAGGGAGCACCTCTCTCTGTACGGTAACACCGCTAATGTGAATTAATGGCAAACATGGAATGTCACAGGTTTTGCCGGTATCTTCAGTTTTGATTAAATGGCAAAACCATGAGTCATTCTGAGGGGACTTCGAAGCCTTTCATCAGCAGCTTTCTCACAGTGCAGTTAGTTTTCAGAGAAAAACTATTCTGTGTGCCAAGATCCTGGTTCAGGAAAGCATTTAATTTCATGTTGGATCAATCCCTGTTCATTCAAACAAGCTGGACGTCAGCAGGACTCATTAGATGTTTGGCTAAACTAGGGTCAGTGGTTGATGAGTCTGTTTTAATTAGCAAAGTATTTCTTACCCATGCCATTTTGGAAGGTTTGGCAGGATATGGAGAGTTTAACTCAGGGAGACTAATAAGAAACACTGTGTTGAGGTAGAAAAAAATAACTCTCTTCTATCAATGTGACTTCCCACCAGTTCAGATGAAAAAATCCCCAACCTTTCAAAACAAGTCTCTAACTATGAATGAATTTATTTCCTTGCCTTTGAATATGTACCTAGCTGACAAAAATGGTGAAACATAGCAAAGTGAAGCCATACCTAAATTGCTCTTTATGTTTCAGTCATTTGCCAACCTCTATGGAGTTCATCCTTTCTATATGTGTGTAGAAGCTGACTCCAATGCCCATGGTGTTCTCCTTCTGAACTCCAATGCACAAGGTAAAAAGATATATGGATTCCCTATATGGACCGCATATAGAAAGATGGTAAATTAGTAAATAAAACCCCCATTTTGCTGATTTCTTTTTCAACATGGTACAAATATGAGTGACTGTTCTATAACTGAAGTTCCAGGAATTACCATAAAGTTTTCAAAGGATTTCATTAGAATGGCTGTTTAACAAGGTAAGGTATTTTCAGTGAAAATATATGATTAATTTTTTTTTTGAAAATAGATATACATATAGGGAAAAGAGAAGGTGGAAGAAATTTCCTCTGGCATTGGCATAACTGAATCAAATCAATTTAAGTTAGTCCTATCTTCTGTCTACGGAGAATAGTTTTGTGCGTTGCCATGGTCACCTTACTGTATTAAACCAGTGGTATAATTTCAGAAAAGGGGAATCTTCACTCAGTCTATAAAATAATTTTCCCCTGTCAGGCAATGACTTCCAATAAGAAGATTAAAATAGCATAGAGGAAGCCTAAACACAAGCTTGTGGTTCCTTTTTATATAAATGAAACTGAGACAAATGGATCTGTGCAATCTACTCTGTGTGGCTTTCTGTGATTTATTGCTGCACAATGCTGATCTTGAAAGCAGAGATTACAGAAACACTGGCCAATGGCTAGCCTATGTACAGGTCCTGTTTGCTCGTCCCATTCCACCCACAAGGCATCAGGTAGTTACTCGAACGTGTAGCCACCTCTGCCTGGGGACACATTCAGGCACAGAAGAGCCCATCTAGGGTAGAATAGGATAGATCATTGGAAGGGACCTACAGCAATCATCTAGTCCAACTGCCTGGCCAATTCAGGGCTGACCAAAAGTTGAAGCACGTTATTAAGGACATTGTCCAAATGCCTCTTAAACACTGACAGGCTTGGGGCATTGGCCACCTCTCTAGGAAGCCTGTTCCAGGGTTTGACCACCCTCCTGGTAAAGAAATGCTTCCTAATCACACAGAATGGCAAGGGTTGGAAAGGACCTCAGGAGATAATCTAGGCCAACCCTCCTGCTAAAGCAGGTTCACCTAGAGCAGGTTGCACAGGACATCGTCCAGGCAGGTTTTGAATTTCTCCGAAGAAGGAGACTCCACAACCCCCCTGGGCAGCCTGTTCATGTCAAGCCTGAACCTCCCCGATGCAGCTTTGAAGCGGTCCCATGCATAATGCAGAGCTAGTTTGTATTGAGAGCCTGTTTTTTTCCCTTCAGATGTTTCTCTGAGTCCAAATCCATCCCTAACTTTCCGCACTATTGGAGGGATCCTTGACTTCTATGTCTTCCTTGGACCGACTCCTGAAAACGTAATTCAGCAATACACAGAGGTCAGTAGAAAAGCGTGTATGGCTCAAGGGGCTGGGCCTTCTAATGATCTCATGCCAGTACCTGGTAGCATCATCAGGTAGTGCAGCCAAAGCTATGTCCTGATCTGTGCATACAAAGCCATAGCTTCAGCTCCATGGGCAACCTGTCGTGTGCTCAAGCATCGGTGAATGGTCTGTCGGAGTGTAGCAGACTGGCTGCGTGTTCAGCGCACATCTCCAGCCTTTCCTGTAGCATTTCAGAAGGAATGCATTAAAGGGATGCAATGATTAGAAAGAATTTTGTCCAAAGCTTGCTCTTCTCCTGGCCATGATAGTTTTACAGTCTTCACTGCATGACCATAACTGTGTTGCAACACTGCGGATGGAGAAAACAAACTAGGCAGAGCACAGATGGGAATATTTGGGAACTTTACATCTGCTGGACTTCAGAGACATTGAATTAACTTCAAAGGCTTCAAGCCTTCATTTGCCAGTGGAATTGCCTGTTGATTTGGGAGCTGTCAGCCTGTTTTTTTACTAATGAAAACCCATGTAATTGCATTGGGGAGCATAGATGTGGAAAAAAACGTATTTATTGCTGTCTCACAGAGCATAACTACTTGCTTTCCAATTGCCCGATGTTTTCCAAAGAACTGAGAGTACACATGCAAATAGCTGTTTGGGGAGTGTACATGTAATTCTTATCCAGTGAGGACTGCCCAGAAAAAAGTAGCAGGTAACATGTTCTTCTAAAGGCCAGGTGATGCATTAACTGGGTCCTTGCACAGAAAATTGCCACCTCCGAACCAGGCTCTGTACATAAAGAAACCAGCGCTGAGCCTGAAGAGGGTGGAGCAAAGCTGAAAAGAGGCATGTCACTGTGAGAAGGGGGATTCATGCATGCAGGTCCTAAGCTGCAGCCAGAGGTGCCGGGCAGCCCGTGGTTGGGCGTCCCGGAGCTGGGTAGCTGGAGCTCGCAGAGAGATGTGCAGGTGCTCTGCCTTCCCCCCCACTGCCCCGCCAGGGGCCCTGAGCTCTGATTTTCAGGAAGCATTTTGTCTTTCCTGGCTTTTGAAAGCATATATATATATATATATACACACACCCCATGCTTGCTTTCTTTTAAAGTGCCTGAAATGGGAACAGATATATTGTGGTTGGGACTGAGGCAAAAAGAGGATTTAGTCCAGAAGGAAAGTGTTGCTGGGTTCTGTTTTGGTGATGGAAGGGAGAAGCAGCCTCGCTCGTGCCGCTGTTTTGGGAAGACTGGAGCATCCCCAGGGTGGTGAGCTCTGCTAGACCTTCTCTTTCCAAGCAGAGGTTCAGATGGTGCCTCCCAGAGCAGTGGGAGGCTGCCGGTGCCCCTCCACGTCCCAGAGCTGGAGCAACTGCGCCGTCACCCCAAGGTTTCCAGCTCCCTCTGCAGGTCCTCCCCACCAGCCACCTCCAACCCTGGTGCCACAGAGCAACTAGCAAACTGGGTTTTGAACTTACACATTGACGATCAAACAAAAAAAAAAACAAAACCAACAAACCAAACCAAAGACAGAAAGAAAAAGTAAAGCGGCTCTCCCCCTGGCCGCAGCTGTGATCCCTGTGATGAAAGCACCTATTTCAGGGAAGTCGCTGCGGCAGCACGATGGAGATTAGAGCCATCCCCCTTTATTTTCAAAGTCTTTCGCTGGTGTTTGAAGGCAGCATTTCTGTGGCTTAGCAGGTGGCCAGCAGCTGAAAATAAAATGAGAGAGTTCTCACTCCCCAGCTGATGGGTACTGGCAGCTCACTTTCCACCCCTGCCTCTCTGGAAACGGAGCTGGAGCGAAGACAACAAGGTAAAGGGGAGCCGGTGGGCGTCTCCTAACTAGACATGTCACATGCCAGGACAAAAAATCCTCTGTTCTGTATTCTTTGAGCTTGCGCTCAGCTCTCTAGGGAATCTTAAAGAATGCATGGTAGCAATTTCACAGTGAAATAATAACTTCTTCAGTAAACATCCTGAAATTCCCAGATCGCAAATGTTACAATTACCATATTATTAGTCTCTAGGGTAATGATTTGGCTTTTATGTACAAGATATGTGGGAAGGTGAAGGAGACAGAAAAGACTTTATTTTTCAATTGCATTTTCTGTCACACTGAGAGGACTCTCCTGCGTGGTCATTGTCGTGCCCCGGGGAAGGAGAGGGGGTGGAAAGGAGCAGCGTGACCAATGTCTGCCAGGCACCGCTCAGCAGCATCCCTCAGTGCTCTCGGCTGTTTGCATGGGTCTCCTCTGGGAACCGGTGTTTTGGGAGCTCCCAGCTGTGGGAGACCCTGGTGGGGCCAGGCTGCCCTGCTGCAATGAGCTCCTTGGGGAATGGCACCTGCCTGTGCAAGCATCTGCCCAAAATCACTGTGTGGGGTTTTTTGCAGGGACCACCCATCGCATCCTCTCCAGGGTGGCCCCGGTGGTATGGCAGGGTGTCCAGCCAGTGCACGGCTGTTGAAAGCAAGGGAGCTGTGTCCAGAGCAAAGCGCTCCACACCTTTCTCAAATGTTTTGTACTGTTGCCTCCAGTGCCACTTCAAGACTTGAGCAACCCCCCTGGCCCCGCCGTGCTTGTTTCTGCGAAAGATTTAGGAGCTTAGCTCTGCTCAGTGCTTTTATGGAGCTCCCTCCAAGCCAGTGAGTTAGGACAGCTTTGTAACAAAACTCTTTACTGGGTCTCTGGAGTACTCAAGCTTTCCCCATACACCTCTCTGGGTTGCTGCCAGCACCCAGGGGTGGCCCACGGACCCTTGCCCAGAGCCGTTGTTGTGCAGCCAGCTTGGGACAGCCAGGCTGTGCCAAGAGCGGGGCTCCCTGCATGGTGATGGGGGATGATTGCGGCTGCCCTGCCAGGGCCATCCACCTCTCTTCGCATCCCTGGGGCAAGGACAGGTGGCAGCAAAAGCCATGGTGGCCCCGGGTGCCAGCTTGGCCCAGGCTAATCTGCTTTAAATGGGCTCCAAGGGCAATGCAGGGAGTGGGAAGGGAGCAGAGGGCTGAATGCCGGTGCCTCCGCTGTCTTGTGCGGAGCAGAGGTGGCCGTAGGACACATCCTGCCAGTGACAACTCAGCGCTACAGCAGTGGTGGCAGGGACAGGGCATGTGCTGGGCATCATGCAATGGGAAGGAGAAATCTCCATCCCAGTTCTTCTGCTCCCTCCTGTCCCTGTGCCCGGCCGCCAGGAGCACTGTTCCTGGCACACCAGAGACTGTCCTGCCACAGCTACCTATATTTGTGACAGTAATCACACTTTTCTCCTACTACAGAAGAGGTCCGGTGTGTGGAACAGTTATATAACACAAATCTCACTTTTTATGGCAAACGCCTCGGTTTGCAGGAGGATGGGAAAAAGCAGTAATGAGCTAAAGAGCTCAGCCATTGAGCTGAGCCTAGCTGAGCTCTACAGCCAGACCTAATGCCAGACCACCATTGTCAAGTCCACTGGTGGCCTTTCAGGACAGAGTAAGAGGGCGTAGCGGTAGCATATGAGCTTAGGAAAGTTATAGTTCAACAAATGGACATTTAACAGCTGTTGGGTGGTGTGAAGGCCATGAATTTCTTATTTTATCACAAATTATCCAATGACAAGCTTTCAGAGAGCATACTGCATGTCTCCCAATGCTGTTTTGAGATCAAATTGCTGGTTTATTCCCTCCTTACAGAACCGTAGGATAGTTCTGGGTGGAAGGGACCTCAGGAGGTCTCTAGTCTAGCCTCCTATTTGAGAGGTAACGTGGGGAATCTGCTTGTACCTACAGTTTTATCGCAGATGATTCAGTTGGAGTCTCACAGTTGAATTCATGGGTCCTCCAAAAAAAGCCTAAGCAGCTGATAAGTGTTTGTGCAGCAAAGAACAATGTTTGAAGACCTTAGCATTGAAAGTCCTTAAAATTATTAGGCTCCAGAGGCTGTGAGCAGCTTCTTAATGGTTTGGCAGTTCCAGGGCCTTTCTCCTTGCTCTCCTAAAACAAAGCTCAGCTTCTGTACAGAGGCTTTGAGTGAAGGTTACCCGCTGCCTTTTTAGGTGCCCACAGCACTCACCTGCCTGCCTCAGCCATAGGGGATGAGCTGGATACAGATACCTGGGCCATAGGAGCCCCTGTGTAATTTAGTCATTGTGTGACTATCCAAACACACTATTTCTGTGTCTAAATCCAGAGCATTAGCCCACTTGGATTTTTATAGCTTCCTCCTACAGCTCTTCCTTAAAGAAAGGAAGTTTGAGCAAGTATCAAGCTTCAAGACTCATTTTATATGGCTAATTAGGGTAAAGGATTAGCAATTTTTTTATGTTGAGCACCTGTACCTGCGTTGCTGGCGAGCTTGGCTCCTTGGTAAGCATGGGAATGAGTATGTCTCTCTACGGCCTCTCTATACATAGGGCATAACTGTCCAGCCACCTCTCTCGCATCAAAGTCTTTGGTCAGAGTGTTAATAACATTGGATTCTGATTTACTATACAGTATTTTAAACTTAACTTAGTTGATAGCCTTGATGCTCAGTATAATAATGTTATTTGTCCAATAACCCAGCACAGGCAAAGTGAATGCAGATCCCCTGCTCCCTGGGCACAGATTTTAACTGTTAGATACGCATGTTTTCACTTTCTGACTTTGTTCTTACTGCAAAACGCGTCCAGGGTACCTCCTAGATCCATCAGCTCTCAGGTGCATCTGAAAAAAGTGAAAAAAAAAATTACATAATGCCAAGTTATGTAAACCTGGAAAAACTAACAGTGAATTTATTAAACAACACTAAGAGTTATTTAAGAACCAAGTGCAGGAGGAATTGTGGAACAGAAAATAGGATCTATTTTTTTGTCTGCTTCTGCACTACCGTATCTTCCCTTTTTTTTTTCTCAGTTTGGATACCCCATATGTTTGCTGTTTCTGCATTTCTCATGTTTTCCTCCCTCAGTTCCCCTGCCGTACTTCATTTACCTTTTCTGATTCTATGGGAGTCAATTTTGCCAAGCAGGCTTTCTCTGCCTACTGCATTTTATGTTCATTTGTATGCAGAATGCAATCTATATGAATTAACTAGATCCTAAATATATATCAAATCCAACATGAGTTTTCGGGTCTGCAAAATTACATCCCTGCCTCTGCTGATCCATCTGCGAGTAGGTACCATATGTCAGTTACTTTATCAGGAAGCTTCAGGGGGATCCATTAGAGAGAGTCCGCAGCATAATTAGAAAAAAGAACATTTGTTTTCCCAGCTGCCCTGTTTTCATCCTTCCTCTTCAGATGTTCTGCTGATTTCAATTAAGCTCACCATAGATGCGCCAGCCTGGTGAACCTGGGGAAGTAATTGCTTTAAAACTTAATATCTTGCTTGCAAGGTGGATTTTCTTCAGCTGGCTCAGCTGTAATCCCAAACTCCTCAGTGGATACTGTCACAAAATACTGCCTCACCGTGGGGCAGCTCTGCGACCCGCAGGCGAGACAGCACCGTCGCCTAAGTGTGAGCAGCTGAACCTCAGCAAACCCCAGCACCAGGCACGTGCCCTTCGGGCAGGACCCTGGCTGGCACACCGGTGGCCACAGCTCCACCTCTGGCCCCACTGGCATCCACCTGGGTGCTCGATAGGACATGGAGGCAGAAGCAAATCACCATCCAGCTCTTGAACCACATTGTATTGGCGATGTCCCAGACTGGCTGCCCTTCCCAGCCAGGAGCGACCCAGGGCACCGCCGGACCCGGGGGGGGGGTGCCCCGGGGTTCCTCCTGGGGAAGGCAGCGGATGGCACGCAGGCATCCTGCCAGGGCACCGGGCTCTGCCTTCAGCCACAGGATTAATATTTGTCAGCTGGTTTTCCCTCTTCCTCTTGTCCAAGGGGAGAAGCCTGTGCACCAAACATTTTATTTCATTAGGGAGTTCTTTTGTTTTGGTCTGTCTTTTTAACCTTGTTTGTAGAGGTCCCTCTCTGTTTACAGTGGAGGAAGCAAGGGCAAATTGTGCATCTGCTTCAGGAGCACAAAGTGGTGGGGTTCACAGAGCTCATCTTGCAGCCTTGGCTGGTCTAAACCAAGCTCTGCTGCCTCCTCAGATGAATTTATCCTTAATAGGGCGAGTGTGGTTCTGACAGAGAAGCAGACTTCTTGCCCCAAGGCCTGCCATGCTCTGCTGGACACCTCGATGTGGGCTCATGGGGTGTCTAGGAGATCGTCCCAAGCCATCCGTGCCCCATTCAGCTCTCCACAGGAAACACCAGAAGAAACTGAAAGATGGTCTGGGGGATCAGGTGTGTCCACACAAGCTGGAAATAATGAATGACACCTGTAAGCAGACGAGACTGCACCATGATGGCAACAGCATGTCTCTGCCCACCAGCCTCCCTCTAGGGAGGGGGCCACCTTCATCTGTCCCGGGCCTCTCCTGGCAAGGGCACAGGGATGGCTACGTGCAGCTGTGTTGGGAGCATGCTGCTGAGAGCTGCTCTTGCTTCCTCTGAAGGGCTTAGCCTCCAGCAAAGTTGGAGGTGAAGTAGGCATTGAGGAGGGTGAAGGGAGTTAAGCCCGGTGGAAGGGGATGAGTAGCAGGCATGCAGGACAGCTGTGCTGCTCAGCCAGGGCATCCTTCCTGGAGGGACCCAAACCATTAACCTCACCAGTTGTTCTGGCCTCCTCCTGCTCTTTCTTAAGTGAGATAGCAGCATCCCAACAAGCGAAAGCACACTGTGTAGCCAAATTTGTAATGCTTAGTGCCTAAAGGTCACCTGTATGTCCACAAGCCATTCTTATTTGGGAGCCATTTACCCTGTGTGTTCCCCCAGCTCGGGTACATTAAAACATCCTCTGCTTTTCCCCGCTTCTCTCCTGCACCTCTTCTTCTGTCCAGTGCAGCCTGCACATCACACCAGCTCTAGCATCCATGACATATTTTAGAGCAATTTCAAGTTCGCCATTGCTTTCCCAGGTCAGACTCTTACTGCAGAAAATCCCATAGGAGGATGTGTCTTTATGCCTTGTGATCTCTGGAGAGCTTAGCAATGCAGAAGATACAGAGTGCCAGGAGTGCCTTGTTTTATTTAATTGAAGTAGATGGGGTTTAGCTGCCAGTATGCAAGTTTTGTTCTTTTTCGCTTAGCATAATTACCTAACTATGGAGATCCACATGGAAATAAGGGGGGGAACAGTTATTTAGCCAAAGGGAGTCAATAGCTGCAACTGATTAATAAGTCATGGGCCCTCACTAGCTACTTGATTTTCACGTATTGCCTGCAAGATTGTTAGAAATACTGAACAACGGCTAATTTCATGGGATCTAACCATTTAAAACTGTCCCCCAGAAAACACCAGTGTGTCCTAATGAGGCAACACCAGATTTCAGCTTACTTCTGGAACAGACACCTCGTGGCTGCTCGCTGCTTGTCCCCGGTTGCCGGAGCAGCTCTGACCGGGGCAGCAGAGCAGGATGCCTCGCTCCCCTGTGCTCTCAATCAGGTTTCCTCATGCAATTTACAGCTGGATTATGTGGAGCCAGTGGAAATCAAATATTTATAAAATCATATTTAACTCATTACCTCATGTTTCAGTTGAGAATTTTGGGACCACACAGTAACTCTGACCTTGAAGAGGTTTGTCAATGCCTGGCAACAGGATGCTGTGGGCCAGCACTGAGAGCAGTCAGTCCTAAGTAACTGAATTGCGCCAGGGTGGTGTGTAAATATAATTAAAACTTCAGAGAGCTCAAATAAACAGCAGACTCTTGATGGGTTAGTTCAGCTGGATGCGGCAAGAGAAATTAGCAAAGCTGGCCTTGCTGTGTAGCATCAGAGATTTGCCTGCTGTTGACCAAAGGGTTTGTGGACTTGGCAAGCGTCAGGTGGTGCGAGGCTCCATGTTGGGTTTCTGCCGGCGTGTGCCACGTAAGTGAAGGCATGTGCTCCTGTGGGGAGGCTGAGACCTCGGCGGGACCTTCATTTAGCATCAGCCTGGGTTTTATACAGCATGTCTTCTGCCAGGGCGTTCTTAGAGGTGGTGCTCACTGTGGGCATCACTCAGAGCCTCTGCTAAGGAGAAGGGTCCACCAGGAGAAGCACTTTTTTGAAGCCAAGTATACTGTATGGTGGGCCATTCTGGGAAGGAAACGGGGGCGTGTGATACCTGTGTCCTGATCTTCATGGCTTAAATGAGATGGGAGCCTCTCCCGGTGCTTCAGAATAATTTCTCTTCACCTCACCCTTTGCATTTCTGTATTCCTCGTTCCTGCTGCAGGCCATTGGGCGCCCACACATGCCTGCCTACTGGTCTCTGGGATTCCATCTCTCCCGATGGGGTTATGGCAGCATTGACGTTTTGAAGAAAACTGTTGATCGCATGCACTACTATGATATCCCATATGTAAGTATGAATTTTTCACTGTGTATGCTAATTTTACAATCCAAACCGAGACGAATAAAATTATAATAGAGGAAAAGTGATTATCATACAAAGAGAATTGTAGAATAAAAGGATGTGCATAATCTTACATAGTGGTTTTGCACGTAATACCTTTATAATACTTAAAAGAACATTTAAAGCAGGCTGTGAACATGAGGTTTAAGTGCTGCTCTTGGCTGCATAGCAGGTGATTCTGGTGTGGATTTACTGTCATGCAGTATGAGGTGCTAGCATTTTAAAAATAAACGATGCATACCACTGCCAAAGAGTTGCTAAACTAGGACTTCTACATTTCCATTTTGTCCATTGTTACTGAGTAAGTTTATAGGAGCTGAATTTGGCCTGACAATTATTTACAATTATTATAGCCAATCTCTTAGGTTTCATTTCATACATCAGTTACCTTTTAGAAATGCAGTTGCACACATTCTGATTTTCTGTATCAAATACTTCAATCATAGAATAATTTGGGTTGGAAGGGACCCCTAGAGGTCATCTAGTCCAACCCCCCTGCAGTGAAAAGGGACATCCCTAACTAGATCAGATTGCTCAAAGTCCCGTCCAACCTGGCCTTGAATGTTTCCAGGATGGGGCATCTACCACCTCCCTGGGCAACCTGTTCCAGTGTTTCACCACCCTCCCTGTAAAAAAAAATTGTTCCTTAAACCTAGTCTGAGTCTACCCTCCTTTAGTTTAAAACCATTACCACTTGTCCTACCACTACAAGCCCAGCTAAAAAGACTGTCCCCATCTTTCCCATAAACCTCCTTTAAGTACTGAAAGGCTGCAATCAGGTCTCCCCGCAGCCTTCTCTTCTCCAGGCTGAACAGGCCCAACTCTCTCAGCCTGTCCTCAAAGCAGAGGGGCTCCAGTCTCGGATCATTTTTGTGGCCCTCCTCTGGACCCGCTCCAACACTTCCATGTCCTTCTTGTGCTGAGGGCTCCAGAGGTGGACGCAGTACTCATGTGATGTTTACTTTAAAAATGTTTAGGATGTCCAACATTTTGATATTGACTACATGGAACGTCGCCTGGACTTTACCTATGATAAAGTGAATTATGCAGGTCTGCCAGAGTTCCTCCAGCAGCTGAAGAAGGAAGGAATGCACAATGTCGTGATTCTGGTAAATTAATGATGTTGCTAACTATTTCTCCATTTACAAGATCTATTTGCAGCATAGTGTTCATAGCAGTATCTAGGTATTAATGCACACATGCTACTGTAGCAGATTTTCCACTTTTGTCATTTGTTGAGAAGAGCTGAAGAACAATTTCTTACAGATTTCATATTTAAATTTGTTGCATCTAACAGGTATCTGTGTACCAGCAGCATCTCTATACCATAACATTAATTCTCTCTCACTTTTTCCCACACAGTTATTTGCCTCTGCTCGGGGCTGAGTGGAAATAGGATTGCTTTCATGCAATTATTTTCCTGAAAATGAACAAAAATAGCTGAATAGTGGAAAAAGTGTACTCCTAATCACTCTGGAAAGCTAGTAACTACAATTCACATTTCCTTATATTTACTTTTTATCGAAGTTAATGTAAGAGACATTTGTTTGCATGAAAATTTGTGGAAAATGTATGTTGAACCTGTAACCAAAATTGACATACAACGAAATGAATTAATTTGGGCAGAAGCGAAAATCAGAGCTTTCCGTCTTCCCCTGTCAATTTTCCCAACAGAGTTTATCGTTTCTCTCCAGCAAGTCCCCACGCATGTCCTTGTGCCGAAATTACTCTTTGTCACAATAGCTAAGTGAGTATCAACGGTGGCAAGGAAACTGGAGACCAATTAAATTGAAATATAAATAAAAAAATAAATAAAGAAGGGAATTAAATAAAAGTCCTTGATAGATGCATAAGACCTTGCTCTCCAGGGGCCCCCAGCAGCACAGTTACTGGAGGGCTGCAGTCCCCAGCGCAGGTGAGGAGGCTCAGGAACGCCAAGACCCAGAGCGGTGCACGCAGGGTGCAAAGCGTCACCTCAGAAAAGAGAGGTGTAATTTGTTCTCCATAACCATGAAGGACAGGATAAGAAGAAAAGTGCTTTAAATTGCAGCAGAAAAGATTTAAGGTAGACATTTGGCTGAAGCTGCCTGTCTGCAAGGCGAGCCGAGCAGGGAGCCGGCTGCCCGGGGCCAGGGGTCCCTCCCCGAGCGGGTGTTGCAAACAGGTCCAACAGATGCATCAGGGACGGCTCAGGCTGAGCTGACCCAGAGGGGAAGGAGAAGAAGACAATCCCCCAGGGTCCTTCTCAGGACTTTTTGTTGTAGTGGCAGTCTTCTATTTTCCAGCCTTAATGGTCAGCTTACACCTTTCATTTGGGTGCTACTATTCTTATTTACCCCAAACTGCCAGTCCCTCCTCCTTCTACTTTCTTTCTTGATATAGTTATTCGAGCAAGCGTCTTTTCCCTCATCTGTTTTTGCTAGGCTAAACAAATAGAAATATTTTATTCTCCTTTTATCAGCTGAGGTGTTCAGATCTCATTGTAGTAGGTGACCCCCCCATGTGCCCCAGCTTGAGTGCATTTGCCTGTGTAGCAGATTACTGGATTTCACAGTGCTCCAGACGATGCCCTCACAGTGTTTGGAGAATGGCAGAAATATTTCCTTCTTTCTGCTAAAAATTGTTTCATGACAAAGCCCTGTATCACATTTGCCTACGTTATATTGGTGGCTCATACTTGTAAGGAGACCAGTTAATTCAGCTGAATCATAGTGGACAGGCCCCTAATGTTTGGCCCCTAAGTTGGTCCAGTCCTTTTAAAATAAGGGCCATGTTCCTCATTTTGTCATGGGGGTCCTGTCAAAGGCTTGTGGGAAGAGAAACTGAATAGCAGTGTCCTAAATTGTGGGACGTTTCCTCTTTCACTTGTGCTGGTGTACCAGATGTTTACTGGAGTCAAGATAACCGAGAGCTACTGCAGTTTCCTCATCTAAAAATCACATTATCTTGTCAAATAGATAGATTAAGTCAGAAGTGCCTCCCTGTCCATATTTTTTCCTCCACAGTTGTAAAGCTTAGCATGTGACTGAGGATGGACTAGTCAGCACCACAGACACCCATATCAGTGTTTTCTTATTAATGTACAGTTATGAGGTTTGCTGTTCTTCAGTCTGCTGGGATGTTTTTGGTAGTTTCATTAAAAACACATGCTCTGTATTTATTATTGGCCTAATCTTCACTTTGTTGTACCATAATTGCATTTGCTGCTAGGAATCTCAAACAAAACCATGCAGCCCAAGTAATCAGTTACATATTGATAACAGAAATAGCAGCTTATATAGTGAGTGCGGTTTGCCAGCAACTTGTCCTCAAAGATACATTCCCATGAAGGTCCCGGTTCTTCTGCAGCTGTAAATCATGAGAAGCTCCAGGGTGCAGCAGTGAAAACAGCTTCCATCTGTGGAGGTCCAAGGCACAGAATTTAAACAGGAACAGGTTACTAAGTCACTCTGATGGAGAGCAATTTCAAGACAAAAATAGTCCAAAATTAACTGGATACATCATTGTAAATAACTAACCAAGTGGTAGACGAGCACATGTGCTGTCAGGACCAAGTGTTCTTTCCGACTATTAGGCAGCTTAGGCTCCCTGCATCCTCAGTACTGCTCTAAACATTATCTAATCTCTTACAGCTATAACATTAAATACCACCTGCTTATTTATTGGTTTATCTCAAAAAATGTTTGCAAGACATGAATATATCAGCAAAATACCACGAGTCTGTGGGAGTCCTTCCTGTGCACACTCTTGCCCTTCAGTGAGTACGTGGTAGTCGCCCCTTTTTCACCAAAGTTAGGTTGCCTCCAGTTGTTTTGCACTCACTGCTGGGTAAGAAGCTATAGGCAAGCAGTCAAGGTTTAGTGGGTGAGCTACGTTACCTTCTTATTTGTGACTTTAACTTCATCAACACTTTTAAAGCCCTTTCAGTTGCTCAGATGGCACATGCTAGAGTGGTGCAAGGGGCTGTTGCTATATAAATCTAAATTTGGCTGTTAGGCAGATGCGAGGAATATAATGATAATTCTTAAATCATGCAATGAGATAATGGGAATCCAGATAGGAAGCCCTTCTTTCCTCCTTCCACTAAACTGTAACTAAGGACTGTCTTCTGCTCTAGTTCTTTAGATAAGCTTGTGAAAAGGAACACAAGCTGATCCAGTTTGTCCTTCATTTTTTAAAAGCTAGTGGGAAGTATAGGTTGCACCGGTAGTGAAGTTTTCTATTTTCACTTTATTACAGTTGCAGATATTTCTGTCAAATTCTGACTGTTAGCGTTCTTTAGTGATGTAAAGCATTCCCATAAGTTGAGTCAGGAGCTGGAACTGTATGAAGGGTTTCATTTCCAAGTGACAGCAAAGCCATGCTAACTGCAGTCAAGGCAAGTGTAATCCGGTTTGATACTGAAAAACCAATTTTCTATTTAGATTCCCTTCAGGTAGTGAAAATAACGAGTGAGTTCCCCAAGTGTAGCAGATTGTTGGTGATTTCAGGAAAAGGGCTCTGACTGCAGTCACTTGGTGTCATGCAAAACCTCTAGGAAATGGATTTGGGGGAGATGGGTTCAGTCCTCCTTATCTCAGACTGCTGCAGTCACAAGCAAAGGGCAGATTCTAGCTGCCAGCAGCATTAACACCAGTAATCTGCCTGAGGCGGGGACCCTGAACTCAGCTGGGCCACCACTGCTGGGTTGGCTGGTGCCCCACCGTCAGGAAACCCAGTCCCCACCCTTGCATCCAGTGCTGGGAACCCTCCGTGCCTACGGTCACCTTGATAGTAGCATGGGCCCATTACTGGAGTCTCTAAATGCAGTCAGTCCTTCAGCACTTCTCCCTCCTGATCTCTTTCAGAAGCCACCTCTGTTCAAGGGAAATTTTGTGTAAGAGCGTCAGTACTTGGTCATCATTATTGCGCTGAATAATGTGCATGCTTCGGCTGAGTCAGAACAAATATATTCTTTAGAAACAAAGAAAGGAGTTCTCAAAGTAATAATGACTACAATGCAAAATGATAAACCTTATTACAGAAGAGGAGCTTTAATGAAAGACCCTGTATACCTTAGTCACACTAAAAATAGAAACAGCTAGGAATGACACAAGTGACAAATCACTTAGAAGTCAATAGCAACACGCTCATGATTCCAAATAATGCTTGATAACATTAACATTTTAAAGTCCAGCTCTTTGAGCTGTAGAGGTTAAAATTTCCAGCGATGAGTTTTTATGGATGTGGATCAAAATCTGTGTTTGGGGCCATAGGTGGAAGCGCATCAGTCTGGATAGGTGCTGGGTGCCCCCAGGTCTCAGGCAGTCAGTTGGAGTTAAGGGTGCTCAGCACCTCCTCTCCAAAAGTGGCTAAAAAGCTGAGTTAGGGAAGATTTAACAGACATGAACTTCCTCCCCCACAAACAACCCAGGAATGCATGGGAGGGTTTTGTTCTCTTTAGGACGATACTAAGCCTGCATAATATATTAGATTTATGCACTGGAATAACCTTTCAGCTGAAGGAAACCAGAACTTTGGATTAGGAGCAGCTAATTAAGCTGACTTCTTCCAGCCTTCACATCCCTTGAGAGACATCTTTTCCACAATTATAAGATAATTATTGCAGATGGACAGTTTTCTCTTTTCCAAAGCTGAACTGTTAAACAAGTTAAAAATGTAATGGACACTTATACTCTATGGAGGTGACACTGGAGCTAGATAGTTACAGTTGAACAGAATTTTGCATTTAAGGTAGGGATTTAGCAGGGGCTTTTAGTTTTGAGGCATGGAAGAATATACTTTCCTTACCAGGGCTATAGCTATCAGAGGGCTTACAAGTAAATCAGGCAATTAATTTAAGTATTAAAATGAGCTTTAAAACACGCCTTTGAAGAAATTTACCATTTGGGATCTGATATTTTTTGTTCTTAAGAAGTTTATTGGTTAGACTTTTAATCACATTTTAATTAAATTTCACTTAAATTATTGCAGAACCTATAAGCAAATGGAAGAATTATTTTAGTGGTGCTTTTCTCCATAGCGTTTCAGAACTGAAAGATTTTGCCTTAAGCAGAACCTGAGGGAATAACATTTTCTAAGAGAAAAGTAAAGAATTCCCTTCTAAAATGGCTTCAATCTTCCTCTGTTCTAAATAACACAAAGCAGATAGCTGCTCCCAATTAGGGATATAGTGCAAAGCGCACTTATCTCCTTTTAGTTCCAGTTGACTACTGAGCAGAGTTGAATATATCTCTTCATTCACTGACATCTCAAAGTATTCCTAATCTTATTACTTACTGGCAGGTGGGCTCCCTTTTGATGGGCTTGGTTGCTACTGGTGGCCCTCCTGAGGCAGAGAAGCTGGTGGTGTCAATGCCACTGGTGGCAATGGAAGGTGGTGACCACCCCAAGTAGTTGAAGGGGCAGCAAGGATGAGCTATGGGGTGTAAAATGCTGTGCTCTTCACGTCTGGGGAGATCAGAGATGTATGGCCCTGCAGGCAAGCATGAGTTGGGTTACTCTGCACCAGACTGGCATAAAACACCCTTGTCTGACATTTGGTTTGAAAGGGGGGCTAAAGAGGTCCTTGTGAGGTTGGATGTGTCCCAACTTCAAGCCCCTCAAGAAGTTTTAGTTATTCCAGCATTATGCTGCTGATGCTGAGGCAGCTGGAATGATAATTGCCCTGGAGGAAACCCAGAGGTGTCCGAGTGTGGGAATGCCCAGTGTGGCACCCCGCTCTGCCAAGCAGAGACCTCGGCAGGGGGGAAAGTAAAATCTAGTGCCTCTCTAAAATCATGTGAACATAGAATGTCTCATAAAAAAGAAACATGAGGGCATTTAATAATTTCACATCACTTTTGCCTTATACAAGAAATACTCATGACATATCTTTAATGACTTTTCCTAAATTATTATCTGTTCTCAACTCTTATTAAATTTTAATGCTGTTTTCTTCCAGTATTATTGCAATCTACATTAAGAACACAATCCAATTTTTTCTAAAATATACAAATAGAAAAGTAATTGTTACCTTTGGGATTTTGATAATGGAAATATAATCACTGTTTTCAGGACCCTTTCATAACTAAGGATGAAGAACCAGGCACTTACAGGCCTTATGATCTTGGAGAGGAAATGGGAGTCTGGGTGAACAACTCTGACGGTGTAACTCCTGCTGTTGGAAAGGTTGGTTTATTAAATTCTCTCATGCATTTGGTCTAGTGCTGCTTCAAAGTGATAAAGCAGCTGTGTAACAGAAATGAGAAGATGATAACCAAGTGTTACACCTGTGGACTCCAGGTCTGGCCCCCCGGAGACTCAGTGTTTCCTGACTACACCAACCCCAGGACAGTTGAGTGGTGGACCCAGATGTGTCTGGAGTTTAAGGATGTCCTCGACTACGATGGAATCTGGATTGTATGTCTCATTATATTTTCCCTCCCTTCTTTTAGAAGAAAACAAAAATGAGGCTTTTGACGTGTGTCTTACTCTCTTTACTAAAGGATATGAACGAACCATCCAATTTCTTAAGAGGCCAGTATCCTGGATGTGCTGTTAATGATATCAATAACCCTCCTTACATTCCTAGTAAGTAAAGTTTCCTTGACAATCTTTTTTTCCCTTTTTAGTCCCAGATGGGCTATTTCTTAGAAAAAATCCCATCCTCTCATTTTCCATCTTTCCCTGCCCATTCTGTACACTCACTTATATATTTGTTCAAGACCCCATTGGCTCAGCTTCAGTGGAGTATCAACCATAAACCACTTTCCTCTGTCACTGGGGCTGCCTTGTAACAGGACTAGAAAAATGGCCTTCCCTCCCATTCTCTGAGCAACTGGTCTGCATCAGAGAAAGGGCAAGATGCCTGTATACTGTAACTCAGCTACAGATTTATGGAAGGAGTAACCCTCCTGCCTTACCATCACCACTGCTAGTCCCAGGGATGGGCAATCTCTGCCTTTTCCACAAACCAGGACAAGGAAGGTGGCATCTTCCCAATGCCTTAATTCGATATGTTTTCTTTCTCTTAGGAAAGAAATTTTCATTGCTTTACTAGAAATAGGCTAAAAAGAAGTTTAAAAATGCCCGAGCCTATGGGAGACTGATAGGAATGGGAACACCTCTTCCAGTAGCCGAGTTAATGACGTGCTTATTCTTCCCCAGGAAGCCATGAGTACTTATAATTAGTGCCAGTAGTCCTGGCAATTAATCCAGCCAACATTTCCCCAGGAAAGCCCGACTGCCTGAGCAAAGCTAATATGCAGCAGAAGTTGATACATAAATTAGTTATTGACAGTGAAGTATTGGAAATGTCCCCTTTTTCCCTTCAGGCTGCTGTACTGTCATGTGAATTCTTCATTTTATTTATTAAAATTAATTTCTTTCCACTCTGAATACAAGAGAAACATAAACATAACAAAAGCATGACAAAATATTACAAACAGCTTGTAAATTATTGAAACGAGAAGCAGAGCTTTTAATTACGATTTTGGTGTTGGCTCTCTTTGCGGGGAAACAGCTGATTGTACCTGTTGTATACGGGCCCTGTGGGTCTTGCCATTGACCAGAGCCCAGGAATTGATGAGATATTTCCACCTTTGCCTTAAGTTACCTCCACTTTTTTCAGCATTCAGAGCTGTAAATAAAGGTGTGGGGAAGATGGCCAAAACAGCAGAGCTCCCTTTACCCTCACAAATATAGGACTGTGCTAATGGCCCATAAAGAGGCTTCTGACTATGAAGCTGAGCTTTACGACAACTAGCGTTGAAGTCTGAGCCATTATAGAGCAGTCAGAGACCTAGATAGCTACATGACATGTAAGGACAACAAGGGATGCTGAAGGCAGGGGTGTTTTGAGCCCAGTTTCTCTCTCTGACTTGCTCCTTTTCATGCACGTATGGACCTACTTCTGCTTGCGACTCACAGTGTGGGTCTCCCTTTTGCAGACAGGAGCCTAAAGCATTTTTTCCAAGATGTAGGAGATTTGTTTGCAATCAGTGTTTAAGGGCTTTCTTTTATATTCCACTTCATGCCAACACTGTGGATGCCCTTGGCTGTCCAAGCCCTTGACTGGTGTAGGTCTGAGGTGGGACCTAAGCTGCTTAGTCCAACAAGACATTAGGGCCTTCCTGGGGTTGGCAGGGTTTGGGGGGCTCACTGTTGTCTTAGGTGACTGAATCTGTGCAAGTCAGTGCCTCAGGCTTTTTGTCAATCCATCCTTCAGCCTCCTTATCTAAATTATAACCACGTTTACATGTAACCGTGGTTTGAACTTCTAAAACCAGATGTCCTTCAAATCAATTTTCTATAAAACACTTTATACTGAAGATTAATATGCAATTGTAAAATAATCAGTACAACTGAGGCAGAATACAAAATACTCAGAATAAGAATGAAGCATGAAAATATGACTCATGTGGCAGCATTTTCTTTCATATCCCACCTTAATTTTATGGGGCTAATAATTAGGTGCCACCAGGACATTAAGTGTGACTTTCACCAGAACCTTAGTGTCTTCTTCAAAGACATATCAGTCCAAGTTACCTGGAAATCACCTATAAATGAAGTTATTTCAGATGCAGATCAGCCACTCTGGAGTCTTTATGTCTAAAGACCCAAACGTGAAGATTCCAGCTGTGGTGGCACAGCAGAGCAGAGAGGCTAATGGAGTTTCAGGTACAGAGAAATGCATTTTGTAGTAATGAACTGCAAACATACAGTAATTTGAGATTAGGCAGTGAGATTGCTTGCTTATGCAGAAATATTTAGAATAGCCTGTGCACCTAAGCAAGAAAGCAAGAATCTTTGAGAATTTATCTTCTTTCTTTTTTTTTTTTGAGATGATTTTATAAGATTTGCAACTCCATCTCTAAAAATAAATACATTGTATACACCAAGCATCTGACCTGCCCAATTCCT